CCACTCCCCAAACCCTAACACAGGCAGGGCGGGATGGCGGGTAGGGAGGTTACGGGGGAGGGGGGGGGGAACGGACGCGCGGCCTCCCAGGGCGCCAAGACAGGCAGCAGAAGGGGCGGCGCTCGCCCCCCTCCCCCAGGTAAGTGGCCCCCGAGGGAGCTGCGACGGGCGACGGGAAAAGGGGGGCCGCAGGCGGGGCCGGGGCCAGGGCGCAGGTAGGGCGATGGGGCCGGGGCGCAGGTAGGGCGTCGGGGCCGGGGCCGGGGCGCAGGTAGGGCGACGGGGCCGAGGCGCGTGCCCTCGGTGCGCCGTGACGGGTCCCCGTCGCCCGTTGCGGCGCCTCCAGAGGGTAACGCGGCGAATGACAGGGCAGAAGCCCGCCGCGCGCCTCGGGGCGCACATCGGGCAGAGAACCGCCGCGCGCCTCGGGGCGCACGGCGGGCAGAATACCGCCGCGCGCCTCGGGGCGCAAGGCGGGCAGAAAACCGCCGCGCGCCTCGGGGCGCACGGCGGGAAGAAAAAGTGCCGCACGCCAGGGGGCGTGCAGCTTAGAGAGTAGTGAAAGGTAGTTGCAGTGGAAGCAAGGAGGTGGTAACCCACCCACAGGATCGATCCAAGGGGATCGACCTGCTCTGATAGCATGTCAAAATTTAGAAGAAAGAAGAGGGGTTGCACTAGCAAGAATGGGGATACAAATAGCAAACCCTAGAAGGGCTGTACTCGCTATAGAGCACCCCACTACAGGCTAGAGCATAAGATAACATTCTGACAAGCGCTTAACAGGGTAACAGTCAAATCACGGTACCCCATCCCCCGCGCCGACGAACTGATCGACCAGTTACGAACCGCACGGGTATTTTCGAAAATAGACTTACGAGGAGGTTACCATCAGATTTGGGTCGAACCATCGGAGTGCGCCAAGACAGCATTTAGAACTAGGTACGGGTCATTCGATTATACGGTGATGCCTTCCGGGCTGACCAACGCGCCCGCCACATTTCAAATGACCATGAACGAGGCGTTTAGGCCACTTTTAGATAAATGCGTGATAGTTTACCTTGACGACATTCTCGTTTACAGTCGGGACAAGCAGCAGCACTTAGTCGATCTTGAAGCAGTTTTTAAAATTTTAGCGGAACATCGGTTACTCGCCAAGGGCTCCAAGTGCGAGTTTTTTCGGGACAGACTAGAATTTTTAGGACACGTTATTTCGGAGGCTGGAGTTGAAATCGACCCTAAGAAGCTGGATACTGTCAACGCGTGGCATCCCCCGACGAACATCACGGAACCGCAGAGTTTTTTGGGGTTCGTTAATACGTCCGTCGGTTCGTCCCCGACATGGCACGCTTAACAGCCCCCCTCACTGATTTACTGCGTAAGGGGGTCGTTTTTACGTGGGGGGAGAAAGAGCATGCTGCCTTCTTTGCCCTGAAAACTGTTCTCTGTTCACCACCCGTCCTACGCATCGCTGACCCACATCGCCCCTTCGAGGTTGTTACAGATGCGAGCGACATCGCCATCGGAGCCGTACTGTTACAGGACTTCGGCAACGGCCTCCAACCCATCGCCTACGAATCACGCAAACTGCATCCGCCTGAGCGAAATTACCCGATACACGACCGCGAAATGCTCGCGATCGTGCATGCATTCAAAGTGTGGCGCTGCTACTTGACCGGCGCAGACGTGACAGTACGGACAGACCATCGATGCCTACAGTACCTCCGTGCACAGCCCCACCTCAACCCACGACAGATTCGGTGGCTCGACTTCCTCGAGTCGAACTTCCATTATACGGTCACCTATAAAAAAGGAGCCTCGAATATCGCCGACGCACTGACCCGCCCCACTGCCCAGATCCATGCGATACTACTCGCCCAGACCAGTCCGCTACTGACAGGACTATTTACCCACGGATATTAAACAGACCCATTCTTCACAGGAGGAAACTCGCAGCAATTCGCAGCAGCCAAGGGAGTCTATTACGTAAAAGCTGGAACCGACCGCATCTGGGTACCAGGGTACACACTACTACGCGAATTACTGTTACAGGAGGCACACGACGGAGTTACCTCGGGACATTTCGGAGTAGAGAAAACACGGCAGCAGCTGCAGCGGTACTATTACTGGCCTGAAATGTTGACCGACGTGCAACGACACGTGGCATCGTGTCCCACTTGCCAGCTCATGAAGTCAACCAGGAAGCGGCCGGCGGGTCAATTACAACCAATCCCACCTCCAGAGCGGGCTTGGCAATAAGTGACGATGGACTTCGTCACGGGGTTACCAGCCGGGGCGAGTGGGAATGACGCAATCCTGGTCGTCGTCGATCGACTGACGAAAATGGCACACTTCGCAGCCTGCAAGAAAACAATCACAGCCGAGGAAACAGCGCGACTCTTCATCACCACCGTCGTTCGACTGCACGGGATACCAGCATCGATCATTAGCGACAGAGACACGAAGTTTACCAGCAATTTCTAGCGGAACCTGTGGCAGCAGTTCGGCACGTGACTACAATTCAGTTCATCGTATCACCCCGAAACCGATGGACAGACAGAACGGACAAACCAGACCATGGAGCAGCTCATTAGGGCCACGTGCGACGACCCAAACACGTGGGAGCAGCAGCTGCCACTCATCGAATTCGCATACAACAACGCGCCATCTGCCACGACCCAACAGTCGCCGTTTTACCTTAATTACGGACAAGACCCCACAGTACTTATGACCCCAAATCCCAACAACCCCGTTCCACGTGCGCAACAATTTGCCGAGATTTTGCAAGCAGCACGGACCAGGGCAGCAGAAGCAATCAAAAAATCGAACATCATCGCTAAACGCAACGCCGACCGCCATCGCAGACCTGTCACTTATCAGCTCGACGACCTCGATTTACTCGACACTCAAAACCTCCGCCTGCCCATCACTCCAAAACTCTGCCCCCGATACTGTGGGCCATTTCGAACTAGCCACATGATCACACCTGTCACCGCGCACCTCCTCCTCCCTGCTGACTGGTACGTCAGCTCCTCGTTCCACGTCAGCTTGCTTCGCCCTTACGTACCATCCACCGGCCAACTCCCACGACACCGACCATCCAGCATGGCACGACCACCATCCGAACCAATCATCACCCCCGACAAAATCCTGAGTCACAGAGTTCGCGACCCCCGAGGAGCCCGAAAGATTGAGTTCCTGATCCGCTGGAAAGACCGTACACCTACCGAGGACAACTGGGTTCCCTTGGACAGAATTGAAAACCACCCTGTCCTCACCGAATATCTGCGCAGCCGAAACTTCAAAGATGTCCACACACTTTCGTAAGAAGGACCTCCTTAGGAGGGGGGGGGTAGTGTAAGGAAAATCCCTTTTCCTTACTTCGCATCCCTGCTCAACGCGTACATCACTATAGCACCTCAGTCAGCACCGTTACCACTCGCGATCATCGCATCGACAATCATCCCGCCATTTTTTGCACATCGCATCCCGACCTCACGGCTCGGCTGGTAACCCGCGCTCCGGGCCTACGCCTCGACACTTTCCCAACCTCAGTCCCAGGCTCGTCGCGCGACTACCACAGACCATTACCGTTACCACTGTAGTTTCGCTATATATTCTTCGCTCACGCCCTCGCTCATTGTATTCTTGCTTCGATAGTGCAATTCTCGTTCGTTCACTCAATTGCACTCGTAACAAGATTCAACATAAGAGATGACTCATTTAATTGTTTGCACCCTGATTTTTAAGAGCAGTTTCTGTGAAGCACCCTTACTGAAAGAGTAAAAGCTGGGTGTTGGCCTTACGCGAAAGAGTACCTCAAATCCTATCCAGAGGTCTGTGTGCGACCATTTGCCCAGCGAAGCAACAACTTCGAGCTTGTAGACGGTTAAATTAGTGCGCCCCAAAAGTGGCGTTCTGCAGGCTGATGCGTTAAATTTGGCGCAAACACGTTCGGCAGGACCTTTCTTATCACCAAACCTTGATAGGCAGAAGACAACTTATCAACGAAGATTCTGTGGACCCAGTTTTTGGAAATTTTAACGCCTACAGAACAGCGCCGTGGTGTTGACGTCTAATCAGTACGTGTATGCAGCAGTCTATAACGGATGCATGTACGGGAACGCGACGCGGAGTTAGAAAAGGTCGTCATTTGAACGTGCTGAGAAAAATATGTCACGAGCCCCTCTTGACATTTAGCTACAGTAGAAGGAGACGCGGTCCGTTCTTGGGTGAGTTTGCAAAATGCAGGAACGGTTTGGATCTAATCTAACGGAGGCCAAAGTGATCGCGAAGCGTCCTTTCCACTGTAGCGAATGCAGCTACCAAATGCATCCAATTACAATTGTTTCGTGTTGTAGACGAAATGCGACGCGAACTTAGCACAGCATTGCTAATGCCAATTGGCATTTCACCTAATTTTACTTCACACACGCCGCCCTCTCGTCTAGCATCACTCTGCTTAGGCTCAATAACACGATTAGTTACAGGACACACGAGAGAAAACGGCACTTGACTCCAAAGACTGCTAGAAGCAAAGATGGCTTTGGTTCTTGTAAGAGCGCGAGGTGTCATGTTCCAGAGTACGATTGATTGCGAGCAGTACTAAACACCGAGATCCATAGCTCTAATTTAAAGGCGCACGAGAGCGCATGATGAATGGAGGGGCGAGAGTAGCGCCCCTGCGTTCCGCGGCACCCGCTGGTGGTAGGTACGATGAAGGTGCAAATGCCAGCGAGTGGGATGTTCTTCGATTTGCCGCGACGGAGAAATGGCAGGCCGCGCTGGTTAGAAGCGACGCAAGGTTTCCCGAGTCACCGTTTCTACTATTTTCCCGCCGCATCGCCACGGATCGCTTCACTAAAATTTGCGATGATGAAGCTCCCCGTGTGGTCGCTGGGACTATCCATAATCGGCTGACCGGTGCCGCAGCGCCCGTAAAGGGCGACTCGCGAAGTCCAGAGGATAGCGAGCGGTATTCCCGATGTGACGACGAATTGACGATGAGCGGTAGTAGCGTGCAGTCCCCTCGCGTAGCGGGGAAGGAAACTCATGATAGCGGAGTTAAAGCCGCGTCGCTGACTTCAAGTACGCTACTAGGTCCTAATGTGCCGCAATTTCCGGTTTTTGCGGACGTTGACGTGACGCAATACGTGCAGCGGCACCGGCAGCGGCGTGTCGAAGCGGGAAATGCGGCTAGTCAGCTCGACTTGCGATCGGGGAGCGCGGGGTTCCGCCGATACCAGCTGACGGGAAACGGGGGAGGCCATTGCGCGCCCACCAATGCAGCTGCTAGAACCTGCGTCGCCGCGGAAGCTGCTGCGCCGACTCCTCCGCTTGTCACCGTTCTGCGCGCAAGCTCAGCCCCTGGCCGCCCTAGTCAGTCCGCTGCTGCTGCTAGTAGTACGTGGGGGACCCGTCGCCTGAGCCCTGCTAGTTCCGCCCCCGCGGAAAGAGCGCAGAGCGAAGGGAATGCTATCGTCACAATAGCCCCTGAAAATGCCAGCAGCTGTGGCAGGCATGAGAGCAGCGGCTCGGTCGGCCATCTACGTCAGGCGGATAACGAGGAGCGAAGCTCTCTGACTACGCGTTCCGGCATTATTCCGTCTCGCCGGCCGCGGGTGGACTCCGCCGCAGCCGTTACTCAGTGCCGGCCAGTCAACCCTGCCGGCCGGCCGGCATCAGTAACCACGTGCGCCACTCGTCAACCACGGTCGGGCAGAACCGTGAGTTGCGCCGGAGGGAGGGCGGTGGGGCTGGTGAGAGCGGCGAAGGCGGAGATGGGGGAGGAGGGGGAAGGAAAGGGGGATGAAGATGATAGTGATGGGGAAGAAGGGGAGGATGGGGACGGGGATGATGATGACGTGGTTCTCGCAATGCCGGTCGGCATAGTTCGCAGAGGGGTAGCTGGAGCAGCGCCGGGTGAATGGGGCACCACGGTGGAGAGAACAGGACTAGTTGCGAGAGAGGCAGCGCACGGTTGGGGGGGAAGGATAGGGGGACCAGGAGGACGAGTGTACGACGCTGGCGACGAGGATGACGACAATGGCGACGTAATCATGTGCAAGCCTGTCGAAGTTAAGGTAACCTGCTTCGCAACCCCCGTTATTAGGAGGAGAGTTTCGAGAAGTGCAGGTGGGAAACTGTCGGCGAGAAGCGCGGCGGGAGGGCGGAAGGATGCTGCGCGCGTGTCTGGGGGTGCACCGCTGAGGCGAATCGAGCGGAGGGGCACGGCAGCCGGAGCAACACTTGGTCCGGGCAGCGAAGGTTCAGAGACCGGGATAGCCAGCACGAATGTGGCGCTGCCCGTGCTGGTACATAAGGGAATGGTGCTGTGCGATGGGGTGCGGTCGAGGTGTGAGACAGGACGGGATGGGGAGACGGAGACGGATGGCCAGGAGGGCAGGGAAGATGAGGCACAGGACGGGAAGGGGATAAGGCGACACGCGCACAAAGTGGCTGCACAGTCGGAGTGCGCTGAGCAGTCAGAGCGGGTAGAAAGGGCAGAGCGGGCAGAAAGAGCAGAGCGGGCAGAGGAGTTGGTACGAGGGAGGGAGGGAGTGGCAGCAGAGGCGCAAGAGAGCAGAGCGGCAGCAGATGAGGCGCAGGGAGAGGATGAAAAGCGATCGGGTGGTGTGAGCGCGCCGAGCCGTGCTGTGAGCGCGCCGAGCCTTGGTGCTGCGACTGTTATAGATGAGGGGAGCATTCGCGAGCAGCTGCAGCTGATTGCAGAGGCCATGGCTAGGCGGGCTGGACGGGAGGAGGCGCGGCGTAGAGAGGAGGGGCGGACTAGAGAGGAGGGGCGGATTAGAGAGGAGGGGCGGACTAGAGAGGAGGGGCGGACTAGAGAGGAGGGGCGGACTAGAGAGGAGGGGCGGATTAGAGAGGAGGGGCGGACTAGAGAGGAGGGGCGGACTAGAGAGGAGGGGCGGACTAGAGAGGAGGGGCGGACTAGAGAGGAGGGGCGGACTAGAGAGGAGGGGCGGATTAGAGAGGAGGGGCGGACTAGAGAGGAGGGGCGGACTAGAGAGGAGGGGCGGACTAGAGAGGAGGGGCGGACTAGAGAGGAGGGGCGGACTAGAGAGGAGGGGCGGACTAGAGAGGAGGGGCGGACTAGAGAGGAGGGGCGGACTAGAGAGAAGGGGCGGATTAGAGAGAAGGGGTGGATTAGAGAGGAGGGGCGGAGTAGAGAGGAGGGGCGGAGTAGAGAGGAGGGGCGGAGTAGAGAGGAGGGGCGGAGTAGAGAGGAGGGGCGGGGTAGAGAGGAGGGGCGGAGTAGAGAGGAGGGTGGGATTAAAGAGGAGGTGGGGAGTAGAGAGGAGGGGCGGATTAGAAAGCAGTTGCAGTTGACTAAAGGGGTGGAGGAGGGGGGGAATAGACAGCAGGTTGGACCGCACGGCGTGCAGCCAGACTGTGCTTATCTTGCCACGCCGAGTGCTTATCTCGCCCAGCCGAGCGCTTATCTCAGCGCCATGGATACGCTGAGCTGGCAGGATCTATACGTGCACTGTGACGTGGCAGACCTGTGGCAGGAGGCTCTTGGCAAGAGAGCCTATGGGTTTGGCAATGCCTCTACTGCTGCTTCTGCTGCTAGTGCTGGTACTGCTGCTGCTTCTGCTGCTAGTGCTGGTACTGCTGCTGCTTCTGCTGCTAGTGCTGGTACTGCTGTTGCTTCTGCTGCTAGTGCTGGTACTGCTGCTGCTTCTGCTGCTAGTGCTGGTACTGCTGCTGCTTCTGCTGCTAGTGCTGGTACTGCTGCTGCTTCTGCTGATAGTGCGGGTGCTGCTGCGGGTTCTGTTGCTGCTGGTACTGCTGGGGCTAAATCACTTGCTGTTGCTCCACCACCTACTCTTCCTCCTGCTTTTGCTGCAGCAGGCCTGTCTTTGTCCGCTCCACACCAAGGCTTGCATACCACACTGCGCTACAGCCTTCCTCCAAGGCCCAAACGGCCACTGCAAGCAGCACAGCCTGTGAAAGGAGAGGGGCGAGTGAACCCACCAAGGACAATAAGGCAGAAGAAGCCAGTGAGGCCAATAAGGCCAGGGGACGCAATGGGGCCAGCACCGCTTGTGCGACCGTGGAGATCGGACAGGGTTATGAGGTCACCTGAGGGCATTCGGCCTGCTCCAGGGTCTGCTGCCAGGCGAGCCCTCACTGTTGCTGCTGTCACCGGTAGTGATGCTGTCACTGGTGATGCTGTTACCGGCCATGCTGCTGCTGACGGGGATGGTGATGCCAGCAGGGGAAGCAGTGAGGGTGACACCGCTAGTCCGGGACCTGCTGCCAGGCGAGCTCTCGCGGTCACTGCTGTCACTGGCTCCGCTACTGCTGCCAACGGGGCTTCAACCGGTGGTGCTGCTGGTGGTGGTGGTGGTGGTGGTGATGGCAGTAGCGGCCATAGCATCGCCACGCATGGGCGATCTGCTAACAGTCTGAATGCTGCTCTCGCGAGGATGCGGAGCGCTGTCCGAGAGGCAGCTGCTGGGGAGGTTGTAATGCTGCGGGCTGAACGGAAACTTTTGCCTGCTGCCCAAGCCACGACTTCTCTTCCCAAGTGCCAAGCAGGTGGTGGGGGCAACGAGGCCTTCTTACGAGGTGATTCGAACCCGACAATGATCGGTGGATGATCTAATTCCTAATTGTCTAACTACATTCTCTAATTCTAATGCTACCTGTTCTGTGTGTTTTTTTATATTTTTATCTTGTGCTAATCAAAATCATACCGTATGCTCTTTTGAATATGTTGTGTAACATCTTGTTACATTGTCGTAAGTTGACATGGAGCAAGCTACAGTACATTGTCAAGTAGCGTAAAACATTTGGTATGAGCTGCTGGCAATGCTTGGACTCACAATCTGCACGCCTCCTCTCCTCTCCACTCCCTCCCACACAAGCACCGCTCACCCAGCCACACCGCTCTGCACCGCATCAACACTCCCCTCTCAGCCACTCTCAACCGCCTCGCATGCAGCAATCGCCACCACTCCCTCCGATGCTCCCCGCCCTCACTCTGCCTCCCCTCCCTCCTCTCTACCTCCTCCCTCTCCCACCCCCAAACCCCCATCGCACTCTCCTTCCTCTCCATCACCTGAGCAGCCCTCAACTCATCCACCACTGTCCACGTGCCATTCGCTGCCGCACCCACCATCCCACGTGCATCGCTCCTTGTCCCACGTCCTTTACCCCCACGGCCTTGAGGCATCTGCTGGTCCAACGCAGCCTTAGCAGCAGTAATCCGTGCTCCCCCATACATGCGGTCACGTGCGTGCAGCACTGTGCTGAGCAGGGCTCGCACAGTCGGCAGCTCAAGTAGCCCACGGGTTGCTGCCACCTCTTCCTCGTTGCTCTCCTCCTCTCCCTCATACTCACCCTCCTCTCCATCTTCCTCTCCTCTCTCCGCTCCATCCTCCTCCTCATCCCCATTCTCTTCCTCCCTCTCCACTCCCACCATCTCTTGCTCCTCCTTGCACTCTGTTCTTGAACCATGCTCCCCACCACCTCTGTCCCTTCTCTCCCTCCCCCCTCTTCTTCTCTCCCTCCCCCCTCTTCTTCTCTCCCTCCCCCCTCTTCTTCTCTTCCTCCCCTTCCTCCCCTCACTTGACTCATCCGAACCCAACTCAACCTCCCCTTCATCTCCTCTCGCTGACACCTCACCATCACGCATCCTCTCCTCTCCCTCCCTCCTCTTTCTCCCCTCAATACATTTTCCGCTACCACCCTGCCCCTTCTCTTTTCCTCCCACACTCCCTGCCCGCCTATCTATCCCCTCCCCCTCCCCCATCCCCTCCACCCACTCCTCTACCATCCCTGCCAGCTCAGCAGCCCCCATCCCAGCCCAATCCACGTCAGCCTCCCTCTCTGCCACTCTGGCGTCCACCCTGGCAGCTGCCACGTCACCCAACCCCGCCAACCTCAGCAGCAGCAGCAGCTCCAGCTGCGGCCGCCCGTCAGCAGATATTTCAAAATATCTCTCCCCTTGTGACTCTAACGGGGGGCACCCAGCCCTCTCTAGCAGCTTCACAGCCCACCGCAAGCGCCGGGAGGAGCAAGTGGAAGGGTAGGTAGAATCACGAACAATCTTTGCCGCCCGGGAAGTTCCTGAACCCCTGCGATGTGATTGGCTGGATTCTCGCCCTGTTTTTGCGAAACGCTCTCCTTGGCTTGCTCTCCCTCCTCTACTGCTGGCCTGTGATTGGTCGGGACTGAGCCCCTTTATAATGACATTCAGGTCCACATTAACCAGATCAAATGGGTTGTACTGTAGATTGCATATACACTCCAACTGCTCCTCTTCTCCACCCCATGGTCCACCCTTGCCGAGCCTGACTGGCAGCTCCTCCTCCCCACCCTTAGGTCCGGCGCCGCCGAAGCTGAGAGGCTCGGTGAAGCCGTACCGGAGCAGAAGAGCTGCGGTGCTGAGCTGGCCGTAGGTGTTAAACACCTCGTCCCCAGGTCCCTCCTCCCGCACCATTATCATTTCCAGCTGCTCGCTTGCCTTCTCCCTTTCGCCTTCCTTCTCGAGTGACTGCTCCTCTTCCTCCTCCTCCTCCCCCCTACCTCTAGCCCCGTTCTTCTCCTCGTCTCCACCCTTCCCCCTTTCGCTTTTGCTCCTTTCCTCGCTCACCTCCTCACCATCTTCATCACTCTCTTTGCCACTCTCCTCTGGATCACTCTCCCCATCGTTGATTGTAAAGTGAACTGACTCGCTTGCCGTGCGATGGTTGAACCTGTCAGGGGAACGTGGAGGAAAGAGGGGGGAAACGGGGGGGTGCAGACAGGTGTGGGGAGGGGTGGAATGGTGTATCGTTGCATGGTAGCGCATGGTATGCGCATGGTGCAGTGCATGTGGTATGGTATATGGTGATTCATGGAACAAGGTGCATGGTGCATGTTGCATGGCATATGCTGCTACCAGCAGGTGTATGTCAACGTACAGGTCAGCCAGAGGAACCATGCCGTGCCCGTGCCAGCTGTCAATGGAAAAGGCTCGCGAGGAGATGAGCGACTTGACTGCCAGGTAGGCATCCCATGACAGCTGATCTGGCAGCTGCCGATTAGTCATCTGCTGACCTGGCAGCTGCTGATTGGGCGACGGCAGATTCTCCTCCAATGGCGGCTGCTCGTGTGTGTATCGATCGTTTGAAGCGGTTGGGGATGGTGGGAGGAGGTGGAGGAGGTGGGGTGGCAGGGAGAGGAGGAAGGGCAGAATGTGGCGCTTCCACTCCCCACGCATGCCCACTAGGTCACTGGGGACGGCCTGTGTTGAGGCGGAGAGGGGTGGAGAGAGGCGGGGTGCAGGAGAGGGTGGGGGACGTGAAGCTCTGCTGTTAAGGGAGTGAGAATAGGAGAGGAGGGGAGGCAGAGGGGGAGGGTAAGGGAGGGAAGAGACAGGGGGGATGAATAGAGAGAGAAAAGGATTGAAGCTGCAAGGCAAGGTGGTATTATCACCTACTGGTACCTGCTCGATTTCTGTCCCCTTTAGTAGCTCCTTCGCTTTCCGTTTTCCCCACAGCACCGGCACATCCTCTCTCTCCGGCATCTGTCCGAAATATGCCGCCCATCGGGATCTCGCCCCCAGAGCCCTCTCAAAGAGCACTGCTGCCACCAGCGCTGCGCTGTTCAACTCCCCCTGGCCCCCTCCGCCCTCACTCGCGCCCCCTCTTGACTCCTCCCCATCCGCCTCCCCCTCCCCCTGCTCCCCTTCCGCATCCCTGGTCCCCTCGCTCCCCACATCCATGTTTCCTTCCCCTGCGCTCCCCCCGCCCCCACGCCCTTCCGCCTGGCTCTCCGCATCTCCTTGCCTGCCCCTTTCCCCCGCGCTCAGATTCTCACCCCCTGATCCCCCCTCCTCTTCCCCCCCCTCCCCATCCTCATCCGCCTCCCCTTCCCCCTCCTCTGACCCTTCCCCTTCCCCTTCCGCCTCCCCCTCTGCTTGAAAGAACGGGGAGGCGGAGAAGTAGGGCGCAAGCAGGGAGGTGCGTGGAGTCAGGCAGGCGGACTTGGGGATGGTCGCAACGGATGTGCCAAGGGGGAGGGGCGCGCGTGCAAACACCCCCACGGGGAGCGGACCAGGCGGGGGGCAGGCGGAGGGACCGGGGGAGACGGAAGGAGAGGCGCGGGAGTGACGGGCGCGTGCGCCGTGGCGGAGGTTGCGTGGGGGAGGGGGAGGGCAGGTGAGGAGGAAAACGAGCTTTTCTGACCATTGGATCTTGCCCTCGTCGCGCATCCACCGTTCAAACGCGCGGAACGTGCGGCTGGTGGAGGGGGGCGGGCGGGCGGGCGGGCGGGCAGAGGCAGCAGCAGGATGCAAAATCACTTCATGTTCAGGGGGGACAGGGTTTTGGGGTCTTGAAACGTTCAACTTGAACGTGGCGTTGAACACCAGACGCGTTGGAGGCCAATGCATCGCCGCGCAAGGATAAACCAAGCGCGCCACTCTTGATGCACTCTGCGGTTCCCCCGCTGCTAAATCGCCACTCCGCCCCCACTTTCACATTCGAATGGCTACCGTGGTTTCTTTCTCTACCCTCCTTATCGAGCCTCTCCGCATCTATCGCCCATGTCTGACCTTTCTGCGGCAGATCGAAACGGCGGACGCACGAAAGTTGGCGGAATCAGCGCAGTTTCCCCCGCGGATGCGCGCTTTCTGCGGCGCGCTTGTGCCGGAGGCGCGCCCCCCGAGAGTGAGTGCCCCCGCGACCATGTGGTGGGCATGGTGGCGAGTGGGCCGAATATTGAACCAAATTTGATGTTGGGTGAAATGTTTGAAAATCGTACGCGTCAGAGTCTGGTTCGCGTCCATTATACCGTGCAGTCAATATAAAATTTGACTACACCTAGCCATTAATGAACCTTCACATTATTGAAGAAACAAAGCATCAGAATGATGGCACAAGGAGTGCCTATTCAGCTATCCCTATCATCCCTAGCATGGTACCACATCACAGGCCCACTCTAGGTCATATGGGTAGGGACAAACCCCCTAAACATCTACCAACACCCATTCTTTACCCACCAACTCATCTAACCAGCACTATACTGTGTACAATTCAAATGCGACGCACCCTTCCCAGCCCAAGCCCAAACCGCAAACCGTTATTCACACGGTAGCATCGATATAGTCACAACACCGCGCCCGGTTGAACTCCAACAAACTGCTATACGTGCGATCCGCCACACCCACAAACAGCGCCTCCGAATCCGGAGAGAACGACACCCCCGCAATCTCCCCAAACAGATCAATCTCCTGGCTCCTCTCATACTCCCCTTTCACGTCATACACATGTACGAAATCCGCCGGTTCAGCTACGGCCAAAAACCGGCCGTCGGATGAGAAACGGACGGACCGGATCGCGCCCATGCGGCCTTTGAGGGTGGCAAGGGAGCGGGAGAGGCAGCGCAGGTCCCAGACTCGGCAGGTGGTGTCCTGATTGCCTGTGGCAAATGTGAGGCCGTTGGGGTGCCAGGCTGATGCAAAGGAGTAGTCCACATGGCCGCTCAGAGGCGCCACCACCTGGGGTTGTGGGTAGTGGGGAGGGGGGAGGATTGTTGGGAGAGCCAAGGTGTGGGAGAGGGAGGGAAGAATCATGGTGAAGCGACTAGGGAGCAACGAAGTTAGAGAATCACGTGAGAATGGAAACAGCCCTCGTAATCATTAGAACATGTACCTCCACCCACCTTATCCCCTCCCGCCCCCTCTGTAAATGTAACGATAAGCGAGAACTTACCCGGCCAGACATGGCGTCCATGAGAAAGGCGTCTGGATCATCCCCCACCACCCCCACCAGCTTGCCAAAATCATGGCTACAGGCCCTGTGCTCGTGTGACTGTCACACCCCCTCCAGTGTGAACCTACCCGGCCAGACGTGGCGTCCATGAGAAAGGCGTCTGGATCATCCCCCACCACCACCACCAGCTTGCCGTTCGGCGATACTGACGTGTGCTGGGGGAGGGGAGCAACGGGAGCGAGGGGATCGAGGAAGGAGAGGAGGATGGAATGAGAAAGGGAAGGGAGAGAAAAAAAAATGGCAGAAAACGACAGATGGTCGACGGATGCCGCAAACAAATGAATAGACTGGAGCTTGATAAAGGCATAACATGCACTCCTATCTGGCCAGCGTACATACATTGATGGGCCATGGCAGGTGGTGGCGGGCGATGATGGCAAACGAGTCAGCATCAAACTCCCTCACGAGGCAGTCATTGTTTGACGTTAGCACTCGCACTGCTCCGCTGGTGGGTGGGCGAGGGACAGGGGCACAAGGGGAAGGGGGGTGGGATGGGGGGGTTTAAGAAGTGGAGGATGCGTGTGACTCCGTCACGAGACAGTCGTTGTTGGCGTCAACACTCGCACTGTGCCACTGGTGGGGGTAAAAGGAGGGGGAAGCGAAGAGGGACAGTGGCATGCAAGTAGTTTCTTCGTTGAATCAATGCTTTTGTGGTGTCACTCTTCTCTTATCTCTGGTAATGCGCCCAGCATACGCCACACCGCCCTGTGCCACCCTTATCCCTCAAACCAAGCTCACCCCCAAACCCCACTCTCCACCCCAACCCTTTCCCCACACCCTCCCACCCCTTCCCACCCACAATCCACCCACTCCCACCCCTTCCCCCACCCACTATCCACCCTCTCCCACCCCTTTCCCCACCCTCTTCCCCCACCTGGCGGATTCAAAGATCTCTACGGCATTGGTGATGGCGCTCTCATCGCGTGTTATCCGCCCAGCATACGACACGCCGCCCTCTGCGCCGCTGTCAAGCCGCTTGCACACCATCTCGCCGTTGAAGCCCCCCGCTGCCACCAGCCCGTTGCGCACACACAGCGTGCTCACCTGCATGCACACACCCAGACACACACACAGACACACCCGCAGCCCACGTAATAAAAGAAGTGTTTTGAGACGTCTCAAGCCGCTTGCACACCATCTCGCCGTTGAAGCCCCCCGCTGCCACCAGCCCGTTGCGCACACACAGTGTGCTCACCTGCATGCACACACCCCACGTTGGAGTATTTAAATCGTTTTTTTTTCCCTTTTTTGTTTCTTACTGCATCATTAAGAACACAACAAAAAGGGCGGCGCAACCAGCCCGTTGCGAAGACACTGTGTTCTTCCTGGCATGCATGCACCCCATGTTGGAGGACTCGAAAAAAAAGAAGGAAAATAAGAAAAAGGGAGGAAAAAAGACAGCATGATTCTGTTGCACACACAGCATGCTCACCTGCACCCGACCCACTGGTTCCCATGTCCCATCATCCGCCATTCCTGCCCCATTCCCCCCTGCCGCCGCCCCTCCCCCTCCATCCCCTCTCCCAGGCCCTGCTGCTCCCCCCGCGCCAGTGGCTACTCCGCCCGTCCCCCCTGTCCCCCCGGCCCCATAGAGCCTGGGTCCGCCTGGGCGCAGTGTGGCAGTGGTGGCGCGCTGGTGGTACAGCCAGGGGGCGCGCTGTAGCTGGCGGAGGGCGAAGGGGAAGGGAAAGGGGAGGGGAGGGGGAGGGCGAGGGGGGGTTGGGGTTGGGGTGGAAGTGGGTGGGCCCGGGGTGGGGATGGGGAGGAGACAAAGGAGGAGACGGGGGATGGTTAGAGGGGTGAGGGAAAGCTATTGGAAGAAGAGGGAGGGGGGGATGGGTGTGGGTGGGAGGATGACTGCGGCTAAAAATATGACAGCTTCGCGAAGGGCAAGAAAAACGAATGGGTGGGACGGGGTCAGGTGTGGTGGGTGGATGACACAAAACGGTAAGAAGGATGCGCTGCCCATGGGAAACGGGGCACCATGCGTTCACTCAAGTAAAGAGAAGTCGATGCAAGGGGGCATGGGTGCATGCATCAATGTACTAAAGGCGAAGTATGGATGCATTTGATCGTGTGTGCATGCATGCATGTATGGTCGCTGTACATGGGAGATGGGCACGACGGGTCCGCTGAGGTCAAGGAAGTCAACGGAGCGGTGGGAGAGCGCGGAGTAGTGGCCGATGGTGTGGCCGTGCATCGTGTACACGTCATGCTTCGACGTCGCCCACACTAGGTTGCGCAGCTGGGGGGGGAGGGGGGGGAGGGGGAGGAAGGGGAGGGGGAAGGCGGGATCGGGGGGGAGGGGAGGAACAGAGGAGGAAGGGGGGGATGAGGAACGAGGTGTGACGTTGCTGTTGATGCATTCGCATCGCATTGTGATGGCAAGCAGCACGCGTCACGAGCAAGTTTCAATGCCGCAAGCCTGGAAGGAGAAGGGCGCACCCGGACGGGCGCACCTGGACGGGCGTATCTGGACGGGCGTACTTGGGCGGGCGTACCTGGACGGGCGCACCTGGACGGGCGTATCTAGACGGGCGCACCTGGACGGCCGTATCTGGACGGGCGCACCTGGGCGGGCGTATCTGGACGGGCGCACCTGGGCGGGCGTATCTGGGGGGGCGTACCTGGAAGTGCACGATGGTGGACTTGACGGCGCGCGTGTTGTAGGCGAAACTGAAGAACTCCGCGTCTGTGCTGACCTGCTTCACTTCCTGCGCGCAGGACGCAGTCACACACGTAGAGTCACACGCGCACAATCACACGCGCACTCACATGCGCACAGTCACACGCACAGAGTCACACACAGCACACAGTTACACATGCCAAGGCAAACGAACGGGATTAGGAATGCACCAATGAATCTGCACCGTTTGACATGCACAGTTGGAAATGCACCACTGGTCAAGTGTGTACGCGCACCTTATCGCCTGCAGCACCCAAAGCCCACCTTGTCAACAGCATCGAACGGGACGTCGAGGTTCTTGTACTGCTGCAGGCGCATGCAGCACGAGCTAAAGCACGTGCGCGCACCTTATCCACAGCGCCCCCAGCGCCCAAACCGCACCTTATCGACAGCGTCCAATGGGACGTCGAGGTTCTTGTAGTTCTTGTACTGCTGCAGGCTCACGCAGCACGAGCTAAAGCACGTGCGCGCACCTTATCCACAGCGCCCCCAGCGCCCAAATCGCACCTTATCGACAGCGTCCAATGGGACGTCGAGGTTCTTGTAGTTCTTGTACTGCTGCAGGCGCATGGCGCGGTACTTTGCGCGCGTGAAGTGCAGCCGCTCCCACGGGATGCCCTGAATGTCCCGCCCCCGCGCCGCCTGTTGTGCGCTCACGTCCGCCGCGCCGTCCAGCTGCCAGAGGGAGGGGAAAGGTGGTGCGGGAGGAGGGGCAGGGGCAGGGGCAGGGGCAGGGGCAGGGGCAGGGGCAGGGGCAGGGGCAGGGGCAGGGGCATAGACAGGTTGGAGAATAATCTCCGTATTCAAAGGGAATATGGCTGGAGCAGGTGAGTAAACTGAGATGGTTTGGAAGAAAAGCGACAGCCATACGCAACAGAGAGGAGGACAGCAGGCAGAGGCACGTGAGACAATGATACATCGCGCAACGGACAATGGACAATGGACGATGGACGGACCATGTCGTTGTCCTCGTCCGAGTCGTCTTCTCCTTGATATTGCCGCGCGTCGGCCGTCCTGTCCCGCCGAGGCGTCGCGTCCCAGTCCCAATCTCCCTGTGAGCCGTCTTGACTGTCCGCGTCGCTGCTGTCATCGGTATAGTCGTACGCGTCGCATTCGTCGCTGTCTTCGTCGCACATGTCGTAATCCATGACTGCTTGCTCCGAGTCTAGATACCGCTGCGCTCGAGGCAACAGTCGATTCACGAAAAACATGAGAAATAAACGGGCACGGCATAAACAGTAGATCATAAAAGAAAAAAGGGTATGGAAGCATCTTCGGCAGATCAGTACGAGTTGACGAGACGAAAAGCGAATGGTTTAGCCAACATAATCGTGTAGCTGAACGAAACTGGCTGTGCAAAAGGTTTTGACGATTGAGGAGCTAACCATGTAATCCGCTTCGCCGTCTTCTGTCGACGTCGCCATGCCTTCAGAGTACGAGTTCGACACCACTAGTAAAGAGAACGGGCTACAAAATTCTGTACCGCCTTTGTCAACCGCCCATATTGGCTATTAAAACCAGAAAGCACCCGCAGAAGACTTTGCTACGCGGAAACAATTCGCAGCACGTGACCCTAAGAGTACCGTATTCTGCGCCGGTGGAATAAGGCGCCAATATGATAACACGAAATCAGAATACAACGCGCGTCGCGCTATGCTTCGCAAGATTCTGTGTAACACGAAGGATAGGGAGAACCTAGAACAAGCAGGTGAGAAAAAACTTGCGTGCTGGGGGATTTGAGAAGCAAGATTGGAAGGGAGGGTAGGGTGGATGTGAATGTAGGAAGTCAGGGAGGAAGAGACAGGAAAGGAAGACCCTGGGGAATGGACAGGTGACGAAGGTGTTCGGCTGGTTGGGTTTGATGGGGGAATTGGAATTTGCGAATGGCATTTGCGACGGGATAGTGCGTGCGACGCAACAGAACTAGAATCAAGGCTAGCTGTCGCTTTGCCTAATTGCATGCCGTGTGATGAATCTAACGAGCCATGCGAGCGTTCTCGCACAGCAAGTGCTGTGCGGATAGAACGATCGCTTGCTGTGAGCCCTACGATTGGCCTGGGCAAATTTACAAGGGACGGGTAGTTGTGCGATCACCGGACGTATTGTCGCACCGGCTATTTACATCATGGGCGTATCGTCTTGTCGCAAGTGTCCCTTGCGATAACCCTGGGCTTTGGCCATCGGTCGCAAGTGCATGTGTGCACGCGGCACGGGTACTTTGACCATTCCAAGGGTTTGCCCAAACACTGTAGCGAGCTTCACAGGAAAAAAAATCAGATGTCGCTCAGACCCTGGGTCATGGTCACGGCCCTTTAGACAGTACAGCGAGAAACTCCTGCGACCAGCTGGCGAACCGCTGAGCGGGCTGTTTGTGTAGAGAGGTCCCGCCGAAATGTGCTATTGGTGAGCTACCATTCACTGTTGGCACACATTCGACATAGTGCATTTCGCTCAACCCTGGACATACTTGCTTGCGACCAGTGATCAGCTGCCAGGCGCTTGTGTCACAAGCTGAACAGTTGATTCTCCTTTTTGCAATCATTCCTTCTTGCAAAAGACGTCACGGTAGTAGTATTTTCATACATTCTCAAAATAATCCATACTCTAGTTATGTAGCATATGTTAATACCTTATTAAAAATAAAAAGCTTCTCTCAGATCAGTTCAGATACCAATAGCATCAAGCAACTTCCAGTGGTCCCACACAGGGGTCAGTGTGTTAGCCGCCACCACTCCACTAGCGGCAACCGCAGGCACACCGATTCCTGGGAACGTCGAATCCCCACAGCAAAACAGGCCCGGAAGAGGCGTCGTCGAACCTGGAAACGTCCCCACACCTGCCTTGATTGCCGGCCCATAAGTGCCTCGGTGCCTCCTTAAATACCGCCCATGAGTCAAGGGGGTGCCAACCAATGCCAATTCACATTGATCCCGTGAGAAACCCGGACCAAGTACCCTTTCCACTGCTTTCCACATCACCTCAGCCCTCTCCTCCTTCAGCTTCTTGTATTCAGCCGATCGCCTATCCAGGCCTTGCCACAGGGAAGCGGGCTCGGTCCCCGGAGTGTACGCGTGCAATGAGACGGTGCCAGGTGGCGACAGTGACGCATCGAGAACCGTCGGGATGGAGATGAGGACCACGTTTTGAGGCGCATCGACACCGACCGACCAATCATTGACCACGATGTGATGGATTTCCAGGTCAGCAGGAAGATTCTCCTTCTTGATTCCGAGATGCAGGTGCATGAATGAATCACACTCAGGTGTAGCCTCCCTCTCTTTCCGATACTCCGCAGGTACACTCCCGGGTGGCAGCAGTCGCATGGTATCCCACACCGATGCATTACTCACCACGGCTGTTCGGGCGCGAACAACCTGCCCGGATTTAAGTTTTACGCCGACTGCCCGGCCGCCCTCCACCACTATGCTGTCCACGTGGCAGTTCAGGGAGAGCTGCCCGCCGTGCTTCTCCATCCCCCTTATAAGCGCCTCAATAATCGCCTCTGGGCCGCCGAGAGGGTACTCCATGACGCTCCCTGGCTTGTACCACTCTGCAAACATGTACACCTGGGGGAGAGCAGGGGGGGTAGAAGGCGGCAGAGACAATGTTTTAGGTGGCTTAAGAAGTCATAATTGAGGCGACTAGGGATGAGGGTACTCCATGACGCTCCCAGGCTTGTACCACTCTGCAAACATGTACACCTGGGCGAGGATAGGGGGGGATAGGGAGATACGGGGGTGAGGGTGTTCAGATGTGAAGAAGAGCAGGGTTCCTGAGAGAGGCAAGGAGAGGAAAGGTGAAGATGCCATGGCAGAGAAACTGTGTTAGTGGAGAAACCGCAGGTAAGTACAACACTACAACGGAAGCGGAGGAAAATGCGAGAGCAGCTCACCACTTCAGCCGCAATGGTGGCGTCGGCCTTCTGTCCCGACAGCAGGAAGGAGAGCAGGTCGATCCAGTTGCGCACAAAGGGGTGCTTCACTCCCACTGAGTTGGCTAGCGAGGAGAACGGACCCATCAGCTTAGATGCATTGAGCGCAGCTGCAGGAGGAGGCGTGCGGGTGGGGGAGAGGGGTGAGAATAGGGCAAAGGGAGAGGAGGTAGGAGAGGAGAGTCCACGATAGGCAAGAAGGGGTCATCTGCCCACTGCCACTGCATCGGCAGTGGGCCAGGGAAGGCAACGGCCCACGCCACTGCACTGCAGTGCTGCGTTGCTTTGCACCTAATCCACTCGCTGATGCCATTGACTTCTGAGTCGACTCAAAAGTCACCACAACCATTTCCGCCTTCGACTTGGAGGTTACACGAGAGAGAAACACCACAGTTCCCCCATTGCCTCACCTGCAGGCCCAGCGTTGCCGAACGTGCGGAGCAGGCTCGGCCCGTACCTCAGCCCTGCGGTGAGCAGCACAGCAGGGTCAGCACGGAGAGCGGCTGGGGGAAGGGCCATGGAGGGCCCGGCTAGAGGCTCCACCACTGCCTGTGGGGGCGAGGGGAGTGGGAAAAAGGAAAGGGGGGTGGAGGAGATTGGGAAGGGGGAAGGGGGGAAGAGAGTGGGTGGGGTGCTGTGCTGCAAAGAGCGGCTGGGGGAAGGGCCATGGAGGGCCCGGCTAGAGGCTCCACCACTGACTGTCACGTGTTGGGGGAAAGGAGGTGCGCGTGGGTGTGGAGGAGAGAGCGGTGCAGGAGGGAGAGGGGAGGGGTCGGTTTTGGGTGGGGAAGAGGGGCTGGCTAGAAGCAAGAGGTTTCCGCAATACCTGTGCGGCATGATGAGGAAACAGGTTAAAGCGGATTGGGATGAGACGTCTGGATAGGTTAGGAGGGAAGCAGAAAGCACTGTCGTCAAGGCAATCAGCAAATGGCACGCAGGTGGGTTTAGGAGTTCAGGGAGGCAAAGTGAAACCGATTGGCACGCACGCATGCATGCAGAGAGCAGGGGCGGTGGCCGTCTAGCACCTCACCATGAGCCGTCTAGTACCTCACCATGAGCCGTCTAGCACCTCACCATGAGCCGTCTAGCACCTCACCATGAGCCGTCTAGCACCTCACCATGAGCCGTCTAGCACCTCACCATGAGCCGTCTAGCACCTCACCATGAGCCGTCTAGCACCTCACCATGATCCATCTAGCACCTCACCATGAGCCGTCTAGCACCTCACCATGAGCCGTCTAGCACCTCACCATGAGCCGTCTAGCACCTCACCATGAGCCGTCTAGCACCTCACCATGAGCCGTCTAGCACCTCACCATGAGCTTGCGCCAGTCGCGCACAGCGTCCTCCCCCACTCGCTGCTGTAAGACCTGCGCGCACGGAAGGGAGGGGGGGAGGGATGGGGAAGGGATGGGGGACGGGAGGGAGGGAGGGATGGGGAAAGGAACGGAGTTTAAGGCAGGGGCAGAGAAGGGAGCACAGGCGAGCAGTGAGGACCGTTGCAAGCAGGCGCGGTATTACAGAGGCTGAAGAACTGGCGCCTAGAAGAAAGTGAAAATTCGCTGTAATCAGTGCCCGCGCACCCTCATACCTACACACCCGCACACCCATACACCTGCACACGGTGCGCACGTGCACATGGCATGAGTTAGAGAAGGAAGGTGCTACTCGCACTACCACACCTCAATGAAGTGAGACGGGCCGATGCGGGAGAGGAAGTCGCCTTCAGGCAGGTAGCACATCCAGCTGTCGTACGCCGCGCACGGCACGGTCTCCCCCAGCGCGTCGAGAACCTGCGCGAGCGGGTTCGCCTGCGGGCCGCGCGACGACAATCCTGAGAACAGCGATGGGCCCGTGTCGAACGAGAAGCCGTTTCGCGTGAATCCGTGCGCCGCGCCGCCCGGGAGGTAGTGGCTTTCGAGCACGAGCGTGTCGCGGCCGTAGCGCGCGAGGAGGCTGCCGCAGCAGAGCCCGCCGATTCCGGAACCGATGACGATGACGTCAGCCTCGGTTTTGCCGCGGAGGCCTCTCCGCTGCTTCATGTCTTCCGCCACTGTGCTCTCGGCCTCCGCTGAATCTGCCGCTGCGCTGCCCGCAGTGGCTGCTGCGCGCACGCGGAAAGTCCGTTCATCGTGTGGTTGCACGGAATCGCGGCCGTAAGGTGAAGCGAGTTTCGTCCGATTCCTGATGCCCGGATTCCCGCGCAAGGCGGCAAGATCAGCATGACGACCGAGTAAAGGTTTAAGGAGGGATCGTTTAGACGATTCTCCGTGGAATGAGCTAGCATCGCGCGCAGGGATTACGGACGCTGGCAGCAGTGATGTAACAGAGGCAGCCATGGTCATGCAATGGAAGATATTCAGGTTCTGGTGATGCAAATGGGACTACGTGGCAATTTGTGGAACTCCTGCCGAAATTGGTGCGGATTCCAGAATGAACTGTAGCTGCTTGTACCGGAGATGTTAAACTAGGACTGATAATGGAGAAAGAAATTGCTTTCATTTCACTTCGATTTAGAGAATCAAACAATTTTCTGTAGTAGTAAATTTAATATTTTTGCGAGCTACTGTTTGTTTCAATCGGGAAACTCCTCGAAACTAAAATGAACCACTCTTAGATTCATTTTGTTTGCGCCCTTTCCAGGGCGCCGTGTCATGCGGAGAATCGTCGATCATGATAAAGGAATGCCCATTGCAAAGTCTCACGCGTCGCATTGATGATCGCCGAGTCGTCCTTCGTTTGACGCAGCATCGCACTTCGCTATAGCAGAAAATTGACCAATGTTGACCGCCTCACCGCGACGCGATAACACCGACATTGCATTCGCTTGCCTTGCCTCAACTCTCCTCTTCCCCATCCTCCCCAATTTGAACCTCACCCCACCACACCCCTGACCCTATTTATTAGTCTGACGTTCGTCGACACTCAGTTTGGCCCACAACCTCCGCGTTCAAACCAGTCCACATCACTGCACCGAGATTCTTTCATCCACGAGATTCCATTCCAACTCAAGAGCACTTGCCACATTTCTACCTCCTCTGCACGGAACGCAAACTGCACGACATGGCGCGCGGAAGAACTCGACTAGCAGCACTAGCCCTGCCGCCTCTCTTACTCCTTCTCCTTATGGCAACCCGCGCAGCAGCAGTCGAGGAGTACGGCGTGTGGGACAGCAAATTCACGGGCACGCTCTCGTTGATCCAAGGCGAGGACGGCGGCTCTTGCGGCTACGGCAAGACTAATGGTGTGCGGCCGTACAATCTCCCCACCATCGCGATTTCCTCCAAGCTCTACGAGAACGGCACCGGATGCGGCGCGTGTTACGCCTTGCAATGCGTCAAGTCGCAGATGTGCCGGCAGGATAAGATCGTCGCCGTGACGGCCACCAGTGAGTGTATCGGGCAGCCGCGATCCGGAATCTGCCGGCCCGGGAAAAAAGGAGTGATAATGTCGCCGTGGGTGTACGATCAGATTGTGAAGAACCGCGTCGCGGGGAACATTCGCGTGCGACTTGCGCGAATCCCGTGCAAACGACAAGGCGGTCTCGTTTTCAAGCCGGTCATGGGGACGGATTACTTTATTGGGGTGCTTATAATGAACGCCGCGGGGCCTGGCGGAATCGCGTCCGTGCACATGAAAGTGGGCGGCGCAGCGTGGCTGCCCATGGCGCGGAATTTCGGCGGAGTTTGGTCAGCGAGCGGAGTGAAAGTCATTGGCGTACCGATCTCGTTTCACGTCGTCAGCGCACTCAAGAAGTTCAGCCTCACGGCGCTGAACATACTGCCTGCCACGTGGCGCGTCAACGGGACGTATGTGTTCCCGAAGAATTTCCCCTTGACGGCCTGAATTTGTCGTCGAAGGGGACTGGCGAGACGCTTGATTAGGTTCAGTGGGAGATCTGTTGCTGGAGATTGTAGGAAAATGACAAGCATAAGTGGTTAGAAAAGGAAACAGAGGGGGCAGCGCGAGAGGAAATGATGTGGGGATGGGCTGATGGTTGGCTGTTACAGCTGTGTTTGCTAGAGTAATCTCATGCTGGCTATTTGAAGCAGCTATTTGAAGAGATATTTCCTTAAGGTGGCCTTTATGCATGTCAAATAAATTACTTTATGTCTTTAACAGTTTTAGGAAAATTGAGATCCTGTCACGCCAGCAGATATTGGAAGGTCCAATCATATGCGAGAACCTGCACAGGAACCCTCCCCAGCCGAACCTTCCTGGAACCTCCAGCAGCACCCATAGCCTGCAAAATGTTATGCTTCTGCCCGTCTTCCATTTGCTCAGCTGCCCACTGCAACAGTCCCACTGCGTTTCTTGCAAAATCCTTGCTGTACCAGTGCAGGAGCTTGGGAAGCAGAATTTTCCCGCTGCCCGGATGCAGCTTTACGTTTGCCTGAATGTATTCCTGGGCAGCTGCTTTCAGTTGCTCGTGAACAGTGTCAGGGTGGTACACTCGGACCTGATTGGTTGATGGGAAAACGATGAAAAACATAATCGGACAGTCGAGGGCAATTTGCACAGGAAACTGGGGATCAGGGTGAGGGTATGATAGCACAGTGGCAAGTAATGTGCGAATGTGTAAATGCCAGGGCAGAACAGCACATGTAAAAAGGGGAGAGGAGGGAGGGAATTGGAGAGGGGGGGTGAGAGTGAGGAGGGCCAGAGGGAGGCGAGGCTTACAGGGGGAGCGGAGGCGCAGCCACAGCTGAGAGCAAAGGTGACGAGAGGCTCGGGCCGGTCCAGAGCCAGGCTGTAGCGCACGTCCCCCCGCCTGTAGCGCTGCACTGGCAGCAGACCCGCCTGTGAGGAGAATGTTGAGAGGGTGGACGGTGGGGAAAGGGAAGGAGGTGTGACGAGGGTGCAGAGCCAGGCTGTAGCGCCACGCACTCCCCCCGCCTGTAGCGCTGCACTGGCAGCAGACCCGCCTGAGAGGAGAATGTTGAGAGGGTGGACGGTGGGGAAAGGGAAGGAGGTGTGACGAGGGTGCAGAGCCAGGCTGTAGCGCCACGCACTCCCCCCGCCTGTAGCGCTGCACTGGCAGCAGACCCGCCTGGAAAAGGGGGAAAAGCAGGGTGGTAGTGGGATACTTTCGTGCGTGTGTGAGCTTTTTGTGTGGGATTTTGAAGGGAGGGGGAGGAGGGGAGGGGGCAAGGGGGGCAGGGACAGTGATGGGAGCGAAGGCCTGGAAATACATGTGGGTGCAAGGCAGGGGGGAGGGTGAGATGGGAGAATCATGGGACTTACCAGTGCTGGTTGGAAGGACGCAGCTCTTAAAATGCAGTGCTCTATAGCGAGGATGGAGAAGGGCAGGCCAGCAATGATGTAGGCCGACTGCATGCATGGGTGGCGGCAGGGGTGGGTTGAATGGGAGGGGAGGGGGGAAGGGTGGAGGGGGCAGGGAGGGAGAGGGGAAGATGCTGGCGAGTGAACTGGGGGAACACGCATGGGAAGGCACGACAATGATCTAGGCCGACTGCATGGGTGGGGACAGGGGGGCGTTGTTGGGGGGGTGGGGGAAGGGGAGATTGAGGAAGGGGGGTGGAGATGGTGAGAGGAGGGCGAGAGCAGGGGAATGAGGAAGACGAGGAATAGGAAGGGTTGATGGCAGGAAGGCAGAAACAGGTTATGAGGGATGTTGACTGGGAGATTAGGAGTGGGTGGCACCAGCTTAGCGAGGAGTAGGGAAACGTGGGGGCTGTGTCACAGCAGGAAAGAAGGGGAGTGATGTGAGGGGAGGGGAGTGGAGGGGAATAAGGGGTGGGGAGTGAGGGGAGGGAAAAGGGGAGAGGAGAGAGAGGAGGGGAGTGAGAGGGGGGGAGTGAGGGGAGGGGAGAGAGGAGTCAAACCTTGTGCATGAACATGACTCGCTTGTAGTGGCTGCGTGGCTGGCCATACACCAGATACGCCTGGGGGAAAGGGGGGAAAGGAGGGAAAGGAGGGGGAGGAAGAGACAAGCAGCGATGGTGAAGGCGAGGACGTGTGTGCGGGCGAAGGAAGCGAGAGGATGGACAAGTGAAGGCAAGGCAGTGATGCAGGACGGAAAGGAGGAGGGATGGCGACAGATGCACGTATTGACTCTACAGGTATGCCTGCTCACAGGAATGGCAGTGCGATATGCATGGCAGTGCGATATGCATGGCAGTGCGATATGCATGGCAGTGCGATATGCATGGCAGTGCGATATGCATGGCAGCACATGCACATGACCCCCTCTCACATGCACATGACCCCCTCTCACATGCACAGGACCCCCTCTCACATGCACCTCTCATCGTATATGCACACATGCAGATCACACCATACTCGTCTCGCATGCATAAGCAGCCCATGCACAAGACCCCGCTCACATGCACAAGACCCCCCTCTAGTGCATAGTGTGCCCCATCTCACATGCACAGCACCATATGCGCACAGTATAACCCATCCTACATGCACACACTATGACCGCCCTCACATGCATGGCTAGTGCGTTGTACACGTTGATCCAGAAGGCCAGTCGCTCCGAGTGCCCCAGCTGCTGTGGCTGCATGTCTGCCAGCAGCTCTGATAGGATCCTGAGACAAGGGGTGGGTGGAGAGGGGTTGAGGGAGGTTGAGGGGTGTGCCTCCACGCAGATAAACAATCATAAAGAGACAACTTATCAGCCAATTATGCATGGCACCTGACTCTGTTGCAAGGAACCTGGCTCTGTTGCAAGGCACCTGACTCCGTTGCAAGGCACCTGACTCAATTGCAAGGCACCTGACTCCTCACCTGAACCGTTGGAGCTCATGTCGATGAGCTGTGCCTGCTTCCGATGCCAGATAGTCCAGAACCACTTGCACATCCGTTACAGTCACATTTTCCCCATTTGTTACAGTCACATTTTCCCCATATGTTACAGTCACATCAGCAACCCCAGGTGCTGAGTCACCAGCACACACATCATCTTCAGGCAAATCAGGAGCAACGCCAGCAACAGCCGCTGCTGAGCTTGCAATGCTGCCAGGAAGACTGGCAACAGAGGACCAGGGGGAATTGGTAGCGGCAGCAGAGAGAGTGGAAGTGAGAGAAGCAGCGGACGAGTGTGGGGCAGCAGTGGTGTGTGAGTGAGTGTGAGAGAGGGTGGGGGAGGAGGCGGAGCGGGAGAAGACTCTAGGACCCATCCAGGAGAAGGCGCGTGAGCGTTCAAATGGGGTGCCTGGCTGCTGCTGCTGCTGCTGCCGCTGCGGCTGCTGAGAGGATATGTTGGAAGAAGGCAAGGGAGGGTGAGAGGTGGAGAGAGGGGTGGGAGGGTCAATGTGAGCCAGGGCAGAGTCAGAGTGCCGGGCAGAGACGGACGGCTGAGATGCTCCGGAACCCAGCGATGCGAGCGATGGTGAGGATAGCGAGGAGGTCAGTGTGGGGGATGGGATTCCGTGCAAGGCGGCGGAGGGTGCAGCAGCAGCAGCATCAGTAGCAGAAGCAGCATTAGCATTAGCATCAGCGTTAGCAGCGGCCTTATAGATGGCGAGGATACCACCAACGAGAGCCATTGAGAGCTCTACAGGTCGCCCCTCGTACTCCTCCCTTAGCCGCTCCCTCACTGGCCTCCCACTTGACCCCTCCTGCATGCCAGCCTGCCCTTCCCAAATGGGGTTCGCCCCCTGTGCACTTCCGCTGCCAGAAGCACACACACTGGGATCACTGGCATAGGCAGCACGTCGAGTGCTGGGAATGTTGGAATCGTTGGGAGCAGCAGCGGCAGCAGATTCAGCAGCACAACCAGCATCAGCAGGAGCCGCTGCAGCAGCAGCAGAAGCAGCAGCAGCAACAGAAGCAGCAGAAGCAGCAGTACCAGCAGTAGCAGCTGCAGCAAGAGGAGTATCCGCTTCTAGAAGCTTATCAGGGTTACCATGTAACCACAAGTTGAATGAGCTCCGATTCTGCACGTCCCTGCCCTCTGCGGCCTCTGCTGAAAGCACCTGAGTTTCCACCTGGAAATCCGCCTGGGAATCTCTGCTGTTCAAGGCAGCGCTGCTGCGCTTACCTGCGACCCACCTCCCACTTGCTCTCCTCCCATCCCCCCTCTCAACCCCTCCTCCCCCCCACAACCCTGCTCCCCTTCCCCCCTCCTCCGACAAACCCTCTTCCCCCTTCTCCCCCTCCCCCATACGCCAACTCCCCCTGCGACCCCCATCTCTCCCCAGTAGGCTGCCCTTCCCCCTCCACTCCTTGCTCCTCCTCTCCTCCCCTCTCCTCTCCCTCTCCTCCTCCCTCCTCTCCCTCTCGTCCCTCCTCTCCTCCGCTCTCACCTCTCGAGCCGCTAGCATCATGCCCTCCCTCTCCTCCCTCTCCCCCTCCCTCGCCTGCTCTCTCAATCCCTTCGCCTCTGCCTTCTGCCTCCTCCTCTCTGTGCGCGCAGCAGAAGCAGCAACAGAGGCAGCAGCAGCAGCAGCACCAGAGGTAGCAGCAGAGGGAGCACTAGCAACAGCACCAGCGCTGCCGACACCAATTGAGTAGTCCTCCTCGGTATTACTTGTGGTTGTGCTGGTGCCGCTGGGTGCAATGCGGTGACTGGTGGTGGTAGGGGGCGTGGGGACAGTGTCTGTGCTGCCACGTGGCAGGTTCTGATTGAGTGGAGAGTAGCCATTCTGTGCGTCAGCAGGGGCGGCAGGAGGAATCGTCTGGGAAGAAGCGATGGGGTGTGTGGCATGCTGCTGCAAGCGAGGCGTGATGTGGAACTGTCACGATGGGGGTATGGGGGTATGGGGCATGAGGCATAAGAGTATGGAGGAATATTGGGCATGGGGCATGGGGCATGCGTGCGGCATGGGGGCATGGGGGCATGGGGGCATGGGGGCATGGGGGCAGGGGGGCATGGGGACAGGGGGAAGGGCATGGAGACCACCATTAAGTCCTCTCCAGCCTTGCCTCTCAACGCCACAAAGGAAACGCAGGACACACACAGCAGGCACCCACTCAGGCGACGTTTTGAGACGCTTCCCTCCCAAGTCATCGGTATGCCTCTCGCATCCTCACCTCGTGAAAGCAGCGGTGGCAGAAGAACTCGCCACACGACACACAGAACACAGCCGGCGCACACTCTTGCACTGCCCTGCCAGCTTCCGCCGACCTCTCTCTCCCCTCCAGCTGCCCGCCCTGGTGGTGTGTGCGCGCACAGCAGAGGGGGCAGAGGGGCGGGGGCTGCTCCAAGCAGAGGGAGAGCGGATGACCCAGGTCTGGATGAAGGAGAAAGGGGGGAAAGGGCGGGGAGGAAGGCAGAGGTAGGGATTGCTGGTGCGAGCGAGCAAAGCAGAAGAGCACAGCAGAGAGGAGCACAGCAGAGGGGCACAGCAGAGATTTCTGTCATTTCACCTGGATTCTCGAGAATTCACCTGAAAGCATCTTCTCTCCGAAGAGTTCTTCCTCGGCCGCCCACTGCATCTGCAACCATGCAGAGTACACACAGGGTACAGGGTAGAGCGAGCAAGGGACAAGAAACGAGGCCGTGAGGACACGGACGAGCTAGGTACACAGTATGCTTGTGAGGACACGGACGAGCTAGGTACACAGTATGATCACCATTTAGACAGTAATAGAATCAGCGGGGTTCGCGGAGGGAGGGTTGAGGGGCTGTGGTTATGCTTGTGATGCGATACAAACAGCCTTCTGCTTCAACTCTTCTGCTGCTGTGAAGTTAGATGCACGAGAGTGGGGTATGGCAGGCGCATCTCTCACCTGTGCTTCGTAGAACTCCACTTCATCATCCCACTCCTCATCCTCCTCCTCTGATTCCTCCTCCGTCTCCTCCCCTTCCCCCTCCCCCTCACCTCCCTCACTCTCACTCCCTCTTGTCAGCATCCCATCCCTCCTCCCCTCCCTCCCCTCTTCCACACCGCCCGCTATCAACCCGTCCCTCTTGCTACGACCTTCAGGTTCGGAGGCAGGTTCTGGAACAGGCTCGGCAGCAGGTTCGGGAGGAGGGAGGGGCTTTGGGACGGGGACCTGAGGCTTGTTCTTGTCGGTGATTGCAATGATCTGACGGGGAGGCGGAGAGCAGGGGAGGGGGGTGGGCGAAAGGGAGAGGAGAGGAGAGGAAAAAGGGGCTTTGGGACCTGAACCTGTGGCTTGTTCTTGTCAGTGATTGCAATGCTCTGACGGGGAGACGGAGGGAGGAGGGGGAGGGATAGAGAGGAGGAGGTGAAAAAACGGAAACGATGTTCTAAGAGAAAAAAGGGAAGAAAGTTGGGGGGAAGAAGTGAGCAGGGTACGTACGAAGAGAGAGGGGCAGACAGGGTGAGGAAGAGAGAGGGGCAGACAGGGTGAGGAAGAGAGAGGGGCAGACAGGGTGAGGAGAGGAAGCAAGAGTGTGGGGAAGAGAGAGCGTGTGGGCAGACAGGGTGAGGAAGCAAGAGTGTGGGGAAGAGAGAGCGTGTGGGAGAGGGCTGGGGCGAACCTGTTCGAGCGAGAGCGGGTACCAGTGGTCTAAGAGCCCGAAGCAGTTCTTGTGCGCTAGCAGGAAGATCTGGTGAGGGAAGGGAGGCACGGGGGAAAGCGGGGCTTCAGGGGGGCGTGGTGGGGTATGGTATAGCCGGGCATAGCACACTGTGCCGCCACTGCATACCATACCAGTAGTCTACGAGGCCAAAGCAGTTCTTGTGCGCTCGCAGGAATATCTGGTGGGAGAAGGGAGATGGGGGGGGGGGGGGGGGGGGTGGGGGGTAGGGGGAGGAGGTGACGGGGGGGAACGACGTTGCGGATAGGAAGGCTTGAAATGGGCGGTGTTGATTGTCTGGACGTAGATGTGTGATGCGGGTGGCATGGCAAAGCGTTGCATCGCATCACATCAACCATATTGTTGAGAGAACAGGTGGGCTGCGGAGGCCTTACGTCTCAAAAGGCATGGCAAAGCGTTGCATCGCATCACATCAACCATAACCATCCAAGTCCATCCACCTGCTCCCACGCACCTGCCTGAGCGAGTTGATGAGCAGCTTCTCTGCGCTGCTCTGCACGCCTTAATACTCCGCATGTGGTGGCATGAGACAGCAGCACCAGCACACGCATTCCCACACCCTCACCCACACCCATAACCACACCCACCTGCCCCCACGCACCTGCCTGAGCGAGTTGATGAGCAGCCGCTCTGCACTGTTCTGCACACCCCAGTACTCCGCCTGTGATGGCATGAGATGAGGCAGCAACACTGGTCCTCCAATCCACTCACTCCAATCCAGCATCCCCACCCACACCCTCACCGACAACCCACCCACCCACCTGACAGCACAGAGCGGCTGAGCGAGTTGATGAGCAGCCGCTCTGCACTGTTCTGCACACCCCAGTACTCCGCCTGTGATGGCATGACGCAGCACCAACTACCCATGCATTCCCATTCCCACGCCCACTCCCACACTCACATTCCACACCCACGTGCACCCACCCACCTGCCTGAGCGAGTTGATGAGCAGCCGCTCTGCACTGTTCTGCACACCCCAATACTCCGCCTGGGCTCGCACCACCTTGTATGCACACATGAGAGGCCGCTCCCTCTTCTGCCACCCTGGGGTTAGGGGGCCGCGACTGGGGTAGGATGGGGGACAGAGGGTGGGAGATGGGGGGAGAGTGGGCTAGGACGTGGACCACCTTGTACGCACACATCAGGTAGCGCCCCTTCTGCTGCCAACTCGGGGTTAGGGGGCCTCGACTGGTGGGGAGGGGCGAGGAGGGAATGGGAGAGCGAGGAAGGGAGGGAGTGAGGGGGGGTGTGAGAGAGCAGGGAACTGGCCAAAACGTCGACAGGCGTTGACTGGCGTTGACTCACCCTGTGAGCTTGGAGCGGACCAGCAGTGGGTCCAGCTCGGACTTGTAGTCCCTTCTGGCCACAGGCTCGCTGCCAGTGTCCATCCAGTCCACCCTCTGAAAATCCCAAGGCGTTGACTGGCGTTGACTCACCCTGTGAGCTTGGAGCGGACCAGCAGTCGGCTTCACTGCCAATGTCCATCCAGTCTACGCGCCGCAGCGCCCCGACAATCCCAAGGTGTTGACTGGCGTTGACTCACCCTGTGAGCTTAGAGCGGACCAATAACGGGTCGAGCTCGGCCTTGTAGTCGCGTTTGGCCACAGGTTCACTGCCAATATCCATCCAGTCCACGCGCCGCAGCGCCAGCTCAGCTGGTGACAATCCCAAGGCGTTGGGGTGCGAGCCGTCGTCCTGCAGGTGAATGGTCTCGATCTCCATGCGCAGCTGGGAAGGGGAGAAAGGGAGTGGGGAAGTGGGGGAAGGGGAGAATCTTTTCAAGAGAGGAGAAAGGAGTGGGGAAGTGGGGGAAGGGGAGAATCTTTTCAAGAGAGGAGAAAGGAGTGGGGAAGTGGGGGAAGGGGAGAATCTTTTCAAGAGAGGAGAAAGGAGTGGGGAAGTGGGGGAAGGGGAGAATCTTTTCAAGAGAGGAGAAAGGAGTGGGGAAGTGGGGGAAGGGGAGAATCTTTTCAAGAGAGGAGAAAGGAGTGGGGAAGTGGGGGAAGGGGAGAATCTTTTCAAGAGAGGAGAAAGGAGTGGGGAAGTGGGGGAAGGGGAGAATCTTTTCAAGAGAGGAGAAAGGAGTGGGGAAGTGGGGGAAGGGGAGAATCTTTTCAAGAGAGGAGAAAGGAGTGGGGAAGTGGGGGAAGGGGAGAATCTTTTCAAGAGAGGAGAAAGGAGTGGGGAAGTGGGGGAAGGGGAGAATCTTTTCAAGAGAGGAGAAAGGAGTGGGGAAGTGGGGGAAGGGGAGAATCTTTTCAAGAGAGGAGAAAGGAGTGGGGAAGTGGGGGAAGGGGAGAATCTTTTCAAGAGAGGAGAAAGGAGTGGGGAAGTGGGGGAGCCCGAAGGCGTTGGGGAATGAGCCACCGTCCTGCAATGGTCTCGATCTCCATGCGTGCTGGGGAGAAGGGGTGGGGGGGAGTGGGGAGGTGGGGTTGGGAAAGAGATGGTGAGGTCGGCGGGTGGTTTTGCTGATGCTGATGCTGATGCTGATGATGATGCTGTTGCTGATGCTGATGCTGTTGCTGATGCTGATGCTGTTGCTGATGCTGATGCTGTTGCTGATGCTGATGCTGTTGCTGATGCTGTTGCTGATGCTGATGCTGATGCAATGCTGATGCTGATGCTGATGCTGTTGCTGATGCTGATGCTGATGCTGATGCTAATGCTAATGCTAATGCTAATGCAATGCTGATGCTGATGCTGATGCTGATGCTGATGCAATGCTGATGCTGATGCTGATGCTGATGCTGTTGCTGATGCTGATGCTGATGCTGATGCTAATGCTAATGCTAATGCTAATGCAATGCTGATGCTGATGCTGATGCTATGCTGATGCTGATGCTGATGCTGTTGCTGATGCTGATGCTGATGCTGATGCTGATGCTGATGCTAATGCTGATGCTGATGCTGATGCTGATGCTGATGCTGATGCTGTTGCTGATGCTGATGCTGATGCTGATGCTGATGCTGATGCTGAAGGTGATAGCAATGCGGGCACCCACATTGCTAAAGAAGGGGGTGGTGATGATGGTGATGGTAATGCCAACCTAGTGCATGCATGCGAACCAGTGAGTGCGGGCACGCACCTTGCTAAAGAAGGGGATGGTGATGATGGTGCGGAAGTAGGGGTAGTTGATCCAGCTCTTCTCATCCACCACCAGCACTGACGGCGGCACCAGCCGGTTCACCTGCATGCATGCATGCACACAGCACGTGCATGGGACCCAGGTGAATGCAATGCAGGAAAAGGGCGCATGCACAGAACGAAGCCTTTGGATTCAAGAGGCCTACACACAATGAAACACGATTCAATCGTTATGCACCAGGTGCACATGCAGAGCAGAGAATTCAGCCAGCAAGTTAAGTATCCAGAAGGAATAAGACACGAGCACCCAGTGTGACAAGGGGGGGTACTCGTTTTCCCTTCTGGTACTCAGTCCAAGCGAGGTGATATTTCAGGTGGCAATGCGCGGCACCCACCCAGTCAGGGAGGCGGTTGCCGAGGCGGAAGAGGCTGTGCGTGAAGAGACCCTCCCCGTGCTGCTCGTGGTAGTAGGGCGTTGATGACAGCAGCTGGGGGCGAGAGAGGGGGGAGATGTAGGGAGATGAGGGAGACAGGGAGATAGGAGGGGGGGAGAACAACGATTGTGGGGATACTGAGTGCCTCGGGCGTCCCGTGGTGAATTCAAAGCGAGTGGAGGAGGGTGAGGGGGAGAAAAGAGGTGTGTGTGACAACTGGGAGCATCGCGTGGAGGCGCCATTTGAAAACACACACAGTAGCGGGATGGCACGGCACTCGAGGGCGAGGAGGAGGGGGAGCAGCAGAGAAGGGGGGGCAGGGAGGAGAGGGAGGGCAGGAAGGGCGGACGGGAGGGCACTGACAGTGCCGCCCTGGCCGGGTTCCGTGGCATCCTCGTTAGTGCGCCAGTTGGCGTACCGCTGCCCGCGCTTGAACTCCTCCACTGCGCACCCCCGCACACCCCCGCCCTCCCCCCCGTGCGCGCGCCCCGTGGCGTCCCGTTCCGCCTCGTGCCATGCCATGCCATGCCATGCAATGCCATGCCATGCCATGTCATGCCAGGAACGTGCAAGGAGAAGGTATCGAAATAATCAGCGGGGGGGAGAACCAGCGGAAGGGCATGGGAGTGGTGGACATGGCGGAGCGCGAAGGGATGCGAAGCGGAAAAACATCCAGCTGCTTAATCGGTCAACTCCTAGACGCGCCTCCGCGCCTATCGTTTTCCGCATGTTCACGCGACCTCCATATTTTTCCCGCCGACCCACCCCCGGCCCTTGACACGCACATGTGAAGGGCAGCACGATTCGCAGCTCCGTTAGATGCACCATTGACAAGTGTCAACGCTGTATTGGGCTCGCGATAGTACAAATATTAGCGTGAGCTGCGGCTTGGCAGGCAGCGATTTGACTACTGTGAGCTGTGGAGTGGAACCCGATTCGCGTACTTTCGAACTCAGGGCCCAGTTTCCGTGATCTGCGCCAGCACGTGTGCGTGAGATGATGCCAGCACAGGGCTATAAATGAGACTGGTTACTGGAGGTACTGTACTGTAACCTCCAGCTAGAGATTATTCTGGAGGAGCGCGACGATTCTGAGAATGTTTCCGAACCGCCTGTACCGTTTTCGCGGAACCCCAGAAAGTTTCGTGCAGCTGTGCTGGTGAGCTGGAAAACGTGTACGCCCAAGAATTGGGGAGGCTGGGCCAATCAGGTTACTGATGGAATCTGCCTGGTGAGAAACCTGCCACGTAGAAGTCGCGGTAGTCTCCACGTTTGCTTTCTGTTGTGCTGTAACTGGTTTCAATGCAGGAGATGCTTGATAAACTTTTAGGTTAGAAAAATACCAAATTAGTCTTACTTTATGCGCAGATTCATTCGACAATACTAAATCATATGGATATCAAAGTTGCTTTGAATCTAGAAAGTCGATCAGTTTATCAACAATTGTTGTCATCTATGTGCTATCGCTAAGACGGGCCTTATGCCTTTCGCAGGCGGCTTGAGTTTGCATGCAAGTAAGCTTATGTGTTTCGCTCCATGCATAACTGTTGAAGAAAGAGTTAACTAGAAGCTAGGGTTTTGGAGAGGCTTGGCAAGGAGAATCATGGAGGGAGGAGTTTGGCCAAAAGGAGGACTTTGATATTATTATAATTTTTAAACACACATGTAGTGTTTTTTAAAATTGTGTATTGTGAAAGCGAAGCTGCTTGTACTGCACAATTGGCATCGTCGAAGCGCGCTAAACGCCCTTCTCCAACTACAAAAACCGTGGGTTGGAGCTCATTTCCCTCCACCCACGTTTCTCAATTTTCAAACGGCTCACTCAACATTTTCCGCTCGAGTAGTTTTTCCCTCCAAGCTGGCTAGGATTAAATCGCTTCCTAGAGGCGAGTCACCCTCTACTTTACTCAGCCACATTTTCAACTTCAATCGCTCAACGATGGCACCTACGCCGACACTTAACAACGGGAACTCGTCAACCCCCGCTTCCGACTCCGACCGTAACGCCCGCGATTCTGCGGGCGAACGCCGTAACAAGCGTCGGGCAGAAGACGGACCTTCCGCCCCGACTGCAGTGGACGTGCTGCTGGGCGGGCTCGAGGTCCACAAAAACGCCGAAACCCAGCAGCACCCTTCGGTCCCTGTGGCGCCAATGGCGCCTGTGGCGCCAGTGGCACCTGTGGCGCAAGTGGCGACGGGGACTGGCGCGGCACACGCGACTGACGCCGAGCACACGCCAGCACCCGCTGCTGGACCGTCGCGTCAGCGTCAGAGGAGGCGGACTGCAGTCTCCTCGTCTGACGCGACCGCCGCCCCTGCGCTGACGCAGGCGTTGACCCCGGACCAGGTCAACGCGCTGCTGTCCCTTCTACAGCAGCAACCCGTCAGCGTTACAGCCGCGGAAACTGCACTACCCGCCGCATCTGCGTCGGCTAAAAAAGAAACTGCAAAAAAGGAGAAAGGCACACGGGGAGCACGGACGAACCGGCATGACAACGACGCAGCGACTGCCGCTCCCCCTGCTCCAGCGGTCGACAACGACACCGACGACTCTGAAGATGAAGCCGGTGAGGCTCCAGTCAACAATGTTAATTTTATTGGCACGGAAAACCTTCCCCCCCTCCCTTCTTCTAATCTTACCTTCTCGGCGGCAACCTTCGTCAATGACTCCGTGCGAGAGCAAGCGGAGCTACTGGAGGACCTGCGGGCGTACCTGCTGCACGCCGAATACAAGGCGCAGCGCGGTGATCCGGCGGGCGGACTCGAACTCATCTCACACGCTCTCAACCTCATCGCGGGGCGTTTCGAGGTGCTTCAAGTGGAGGACGCCTCCGACTTTCGCACGGCGAAGCGCTTTAAGCTGTACCAGCAGAAGAGCCTGCTGACTTCTCGACCCTTCAAGCAGGCGGTCGCGGACATGGCGGCGATGGACCGTGCGGCAAGCGGATACGCTCGTGTCAACCGCGGCGGAAACAACGGGCCGATGCCGTTCTTACCCAAGCGAGGCCCCCCGCCCACGGCCAATTGCCGTGGGTTCCGGGGCTCATGCTTCCGCTGCGGCCAGCCGGGCCACGTGGCAAGTGCCTGCCCTCGGAACGGGCATGGAGGCCAGGGACCCGCTCCGGTGGTGTAGGAGCGGGCCATGAGACTAGGCGCTTGGGCGCTAGGCACGGTGCACTCTTGAGTGCGAAAACCGTGGGCAACCCTAGGGGTTTGCGATGGCAAGAGGCCAGCCCTAGTAAAGGGTGGGATAGGCTTGGGCCTAGGATAGGGAAGGGGAACAACAACCCCTCGGTCCCATATGTTGGCCACTTGGTGGCATGCTAGGAAAGCATTGCTATGTGTGTTGGTTGATTTAATAAAAACTACCTTCCTAAAGGCCTATGGTTTTGGCAAAGAGACTATGAAAATCAAGAGGAGGAGCAGAGAGAGAGAGAGAGAGAGAGAGAGAGAGAGAGAGAGAGAGAGAGAGAGAGAGGGAGAGAGAGAGAGAGAGAGAGAGAAAGAGAGAGAGAGAGAGAAAGAGAGAGAGAGAGAGAGAGAGAGAGAGGGAGAGAGAGAGAGAGAGAGAGAGAGAGAGAGAGAGAGAGAGATAAGAGAGAATGAGAGAAAGCACAATGGACAACGGTGTCCATGGCCCTAGGCATCAGCCCCTACGCACTAAGGGCAGGCACAACCATGTCCTACCAAGTGGACGACGGGGCAAGAAAAAAAAAAAAAAAAAGGGGAAACGAGGAGAAGAAGAGACATGCGTTGACATGCGTTAACATTACCGACACATTCGTTGACATTTCATTCAATTGTTCACTCTCTTCACACCTTCGATCAATGGTTGCCCGTACAAGTACATGCACACGCATGCTTTAACGTGGAATACTCAAAGCTTATACCACTTGGCCTCAAATGTACAGGAGCACGACGGTGCGAGGCGGCATGCCACGACGATCCGTACGAATTTGCCGTTACAGACAGAACTATTACACACATGCGCGGTCGTCTTCGCGCGACATTTGCGTGGTGGAGCTCATGGTGCCCCAGCAGCCTTGTCCTCTCCGTCATCGCCAAGGGTTACTGGTTGCCATGGAGCCACGGCCCACCGCAACATTTCCACGATCGCAATCATGTCGGGGCAAACACGCATGCCACGTTCGCACGTACCGCCATCCAAGAACTCATAGAGACGGGAGCGGCAATTCCGATGGCCGCAACGGAGCTTACATGCATAAGTCCACTCAACGTGGTCGAGCAAAAAGACAAATGCAGGCTCATTCTTGATCTGAGGAAAGTCAACGCCAACTTGATCATCCCCAAGTTCAAGTACGAAGGGCTCAGCCGCGTCGCCGACCTTGCGCGCGTTGGGGACTGGATGTTCTCCATTGACCTCAAATCTGGTTACCACCACATCGACATCCACCCATCGTGCTGGAAGTTCCTTGGCTTTGAATTTGATAAGCGCACATACGCATTCCGTTCACTACCATTTGGCCTCGCGACAGCTCCATTCGTTTTCACGCAGCTCATCAAGCAACTAGCTCGGCGTTGGCGAGAACAAGGCATCCGAGTCGTACCTTACGTGGACGACATCTTATTTCTCTGCCAGTCGAAAGAGGACGCGCAAGCAACTTGCCAGCGGGTGATATTGGATCTTAAAGAGGCAGGCCTTGTGATAAACGCGAAGAAATCACAACTGTCACCATCGCAGCGTCTCCGATTCCTGGGCGTAGAACTCGAGACCGATACCGGCCGATTCTCCATCGGTCCGGACCGACGAGCCTCACTACATGCAACCATCCGGAACCTCCTGAGCGCAAGCAAGGCATGCCGACCAGTCCCGGTCCGCCACGTGGCCAGAATCACTGGCATGCTCGCATCGATGGGTGTCGCACTTGGCGCAACAGCTCGCGCATTCAGCCATGCTATGTTACAAGTGATCGACGACGCACCGTCATGGAAAAGCAGCGACGTTATCCCCCCATCTGCAGCAGAAGAGCTCCAATTTTGGCTCGAGGAGTTCGACCGTTTCAACGGCGCACCTTTTCACGTCAAGAACAGCTACAACGCGGTAATCCACGTGGATGCCAGCTCTCATGGTTGGGGCGCCACTCTGACCACATTTCCGGGTGGCATCGAAGAAGCTAGCGCAACCATGTCAGAGCCGCTACGAGGAACGTCCAGCACGCGACGGGAGATCGAAGGCGTCCTTTGGGCGCTACAAACGTATGCGAACAAGATCAAGCAAAAACACGTTCTCGTGCGGGTGGACAACCAGGGCGTATTCTTCATCCTTCGCAAAGGCGGCTCTCACAGCCCCGACCTCACAACGGCATGCAAGAGCATCATCCGAACATGCATGGCGCTTGGCACGCGCTTGATCATTGAATGGATTCCGCGCGAGCTCAACACACACGCCGACGAGCTTTCAAAAATGGTCGACCACGACGATT